AAAGAATTAAAAGAACAATTTTCTTTGATGACAATGATAAATGAGGACGTATCTTAACGTACACATTTCGGACTTTGCTTTGCAATATTTCCGCTTATAGGACATGTAGACAAAAAATAAACGCACTTTTATCATATAATTCAAACCCAAGCCATCGATTGAGCCTATTCAGAACTTGATCGCTCATTATTGAGATTCTATAATTTATGGATCTCTCGGTTCGTGTATAGATACACGGTCTGTGTCTCGCTAACAACATATGTCAGGATCAAATTAAGAGCAGATAGCATCTTAATTACATATAAAATTTATACAGTAAGAAAAATTAAAGCGTCGTCTACAATGGCAGCAAGAGTATGCAGTAAGACATAAGCAGTAAGCTATTGACCAACTACAATCAATTATTCTTGAATTGTAAAAATCCCATTAGTCAATAACTTACTGCTTACGTCTTACTGTATACTCCTGCTACCATTGTAGACGACGCTTAAGGTAATTATGAGATACGGACCACCCTTCGATGACCTTGACATATGTTGTTAAGGTCATCCTTTAGAGTGACCTTCAGAAGGTTTTAGCCGTCGCTCAATTGTTTGTTAAAATGTTATTAATAAAACAAATTTGTACGTAAAGTAGCCTCTTGTTATTGTTATTTACAACTTTATTCAATTTTCTAAAATTATAATCTTTTTCAAAGCAAAAAATAGTAAAAAGCATAAATACAGAGTACTCTGTTTTAACCAAAAGCACAAACTATTGCCTGCTTTAATTGTGATTCTTTAAATTTTTATCTCAAAACATTTTTCTAATGAAAAGCCCTTATTTTAAAATTATTCTTTTGCGTTTACATTTTTGCAATTGTTTGTAGTAATGCTGTGTGCAACGAATAACTAATGATCCACCATTCAATTCTATAATATTTTTGCAAGGCGGACATATTATTGTTGTTGTAAGTTGTCTTTATGCTTAGTGAATAAGAATTTAATATCAAAGCATATAGTCTGTATATCAGAAAATGTCAGAAAATAACATTTTATTTATTACATTTTTTTGTTAATAAGTTTTTAACAAACAACGACTGACGGTTAAAACCTTCTGAAGGTCACTCAGAAAGGTGGCCTTGACAACATATATCAAAGTCAAGGTCATCGAAGGGTGGTCTCTGCGTAATTACCAAAATTAATCACTTATATAATTAATTGGTAATTAAGAAACTAAAGAAATATACCCAAGTAGCTAAATCTGTCGACAAAATATTTTGCAAAGTGCACTGAGAGAAAAAAATGATTGGAATAAATATAATCTCACTATATTGCTTCCTCATAGAGGAAGCTTTGTTTTTTGTAGTTAGTTTTGTTCTCAAACATATTTTTATAGTTTATTTAAACATGTAAAATATAGCAGAGTGAACACATTTATATTCATCATCACTATGACTTAAATTGGTGCAATTATATGAATGGTTATGGTAAACCAAAAATACTTCAAATAATTATAATTTTTGGTAAAAATTTTACATGGGTCAGAGTTATGCTGTTGTAATGCTGTCGTAATTATCACCAACATTATGGTAACACTAACTATAAAAATAATATTCCTAACTATAATTATTATACCATGTTATTATAGTTTTAAATATCATACATTTTTCTCTCAGAGTGTCTGCTATAAATTTTTTCGACAAATTAAATATAATAAGAATCTGTTAACAGAATATATTGGCAGATTGAATATAGAAATCGGACAGAATTTGCTATTTTGTAATTGAAATGGTTCTATTTAAACGCATTTCATTTAAATGATTACGATATAGAAGATTCTACTCAATTTCTGCTGGCAATCTACTGTCAAATTATGTCGGCAGGTTCCACTGACGGAATACGAGCTTAATTGCGGATGCAGTTGATGCCAATCTACCGTAACTGCCAATCTGCTCGAATTTGCTGGCAAACTACTATAGCATACTGCTAACATTTTGTTTATCAGGAAGTAATTTTAGTTTAGTAAATATGGCAAATATAATAAAAAAATAATAATACATAATAATAATTTTAAAAAGATGTACCATTAATATAATAAGTATGTATCATTTTGGCACAATAATTTATTTCGGAAAATTGTTTGTTTAAAGTCAAAACCAAAGAATATAATTTAACTTATTATTATTATTATATCTATATATTATAGTTATTTTGTTATTTTATTAATTTTATTACTATTAACACATTCCCTGTCACGTATGATGTATTTGCTCCACGCTGAATTTTCCGTTCAGGGCGTTTTTTATTTTTGCTACTAAATGTAACATTACAATAAAGTATTTTATAAAATTATATATTGATGCTAAGATATTATATATAGAGAGTGCAGTTATATAATATCATAGGAATATCATTACATTTTTTTATCAATAATAATTTCATAGTCTTACATAGTCTACCATTATAATACATGTTATAAGCAAAACTATTAGTTTCGATAACGTGGGCTACGTGCGATTTAACGTGGCCTGAACAGAAAACTACCGAAAATTGATCCGGCAGGAAATATATGTTACTAGTTACGTACAACTAATGAAATAATGTTAATATTGAATTATGTATATATTAATATAATTAAGTAACAATTTCCATTCTGTTGGCGCAGCTACAAATATTGAGTTATATTGTTGCCGTAGTTATATTTTTATAGTTCTCGGTACTATCTTCAGTCTCGTATGGTTTTGTAAAATTAATTGCAAGTACTTAAATATCTAATTTGTCATAGTATAGTGGGAATTATTATGTTTTATCTGAGTGTAAAATACATTTTCACTATTATCACAAATTTACAGATAACCGTCAAATGAAACAAGTAGTGAAAATAATTTTTTTACTATTTTTAAAAATTACAAAGATAATCACGTCATGTAACCACTTTTCCTATGTAATAAAAATGTAATGATAAGATTATATGGTTATATCATTCATAAACTCTTAAAATCTGTTAAAAGAGTTTTTCGTTTTTTAGTTTATACAAAAGAAATTTTTGTTTTTGCGAAGGAGCAAACTGAATAGACAGCCAATGAGCTTTTTTCATATATTAATAACTACTAACTAATTATTTTGCAAAAAATGAGCATGACAAATTTATGCGCAAATTATACGCTAACATATAATTAAATAAATTTAATTTTTATACTGCAACTCATAAGAAACTTTTTTTTAATTATCTATTCAGTTGTCTTATAAGAAACTTTTGTTCTTAACGTAGTTAATTTTAACATTTAATTTTTATTATGTGGCGAAGCTAGTTAAGCAGATCTAAAATAATCTATTTTTTTCTTCTTGTCTATTAGTTCGCGTGAATAAAAGTGTTGGCACAAACTCTTTGTTGGGATTTGTTTCTACTCTTCAAAGATCGTGAATGCAGATTGAGAGATTCGATTATATTATTATACATTCCTGTATAAATTATTATACAAGAAAATTATTTTACAAGAAATTGAAGTAGAATTTTAATCGCAACGGCAAGTTTTTTCCTAAAAGATATAGCTCGATAATACGTAAAGAAAAAATTTCCTTTATTAAAAAAAATTTTTGCACATGTGGCTATTAATACTTTTATAACTATTTACGAACATGTCTTAATCACATATAATCTTTATATCGTTGTTTATATATTTTTTACTAATTTATTTATTAATTTTTTCGTTGTTTAAATTAATATATTATATAACATGAATTAATATACACCCTCGAATTAATATACATTTTCTTCATTATCAAAAACGTATTTAAAAAATGCTGGAATTATTTAGTTTTCTATACATTTTCAAGTATAAAATATTTTTGATTATTTATATTATTCACACTTGATGTTTAGATTTGTCTGTTATGATATTTTTTGCAATAAGTTGCTAAGTCAATTCTGTTGCAATTAACATTTATAATTCTGAAGTTGATGAGTTAAAAATGTACAGTCAATTATGCGGTGGCTCATCATATGATACGAAACGCAGAATCACTTACGTAATGGCATAATTGCTTCGTAAGTTCTGAATTGAATGGGTTACTATTATTTGTATATTAATCCTATAAACAGTTATACATTTTATACATTTTCTGCATCAAGATAGTCGTTTAAACAACGGGTTTTATCACATTGCTAACTACGTGATTAATTAAAAAAATAATTTTAAAAAATACGATCGAGTTTTATCTATATTAATGCAAATATGCATAATGTGATTCAATTTAAATACTGAATGAATGGACAGGAGCTTTAAAGAATATAAAAGTTGTTATATGAATTAAATATAGCCCGGGAGATAACAACACAAAAGTGTCAGCGAATTGATTAGTTTTGGAACAAAGTAATTTCTTTTGTTTTAATAGTGTTGTTGATGAAATGCAGAGTCTGGCTGCGCTGTCTCGCTGGAATGGGCGTTGCGGCGTTTTTGATCTTGTCGTAAAAACACTTATGTTGGAAGAATTTGATTGCTGAGTGCTGAGCTTTTATATATTTATTGTTTTTTGTATAAAGAAATGTTTTAGAAGAGTCTGGCATGCAACTGACACTGGAAAATGAGTCTGGCATCCTCCCAAAGTCGTTGTAAAATGTCGATTTGTAAAATTATTTGATTAGAGCTGTAACTTGTCAAGATGGTAGTTTAAATATATAAAATTATAAAAAAGTAAGTTTGGCTACTTGTACTGGCTGGAAAATTGGTCTGGCACCCCCTTTAAAGTCATCTGCACGAGCGCGCCGGTAGCTTGTTGTCCGCCGTATCTCTAAATATTATTAACGCATTACTCATTGAAAAAGATTTTACTTGTCCAAACAAAAAAACGTAAACGATTTTGTGCTTATTAGTAGTGAAATGATGTGTAATTAATTATGTAATAATCAGAAATAAAGTAATTTAAAAATAAAACTATATTTTAAAGTAGTCAACATTATGCAAGTATAAGTATACGCTTATAAAAAATCAATTAACTTTATTTATTAAAATTATTAATTTATTCATCTGGATAATCTGTAATCAAACTTTCAATTTCTGATGAAATTTCATTTTCATCATCGGTGAGCTTGGTATTGTCGGTATCGTCATCGGATTCTTCTTCGATTTCCTTTGATTGAGTACGTTCATGATCTGACAATAATTCAAAGTTGAATTTATTATTAAAATTACACGATTTTAATAAGCTGCGATAAAAACAAAACTTTTACGAACTAAACAAATTAACTCGTTTTATTTGCAAAAAAATAATTATTATCTTAAAATCATATTTCTAAAGTCACGATTAAAGACTTATTAACAGTATTTAAACCAAAATTCTTTATATTTTTATTAACTAAAATATTATAATATTATAAATGAATAATAAGTTATTATAATGATAAGTATCTTTATTAATTTCAAATTATTTGTTGCATCATTATTATAACTTTATTATTAGTTTATTTATTCAAAATTAATTTTGCATTCATTTAAAATAAAATTAATTTATGAAATGTACCTTTATTTTCTTCCTCATTCGATTCACGTAATATATCGCTTACGAACGGGGGCAGTTGCACTTCTTCGAACCAAGTAAACTCGTACTTTTCGTCAACTTCTTTCCAGCCATTTTCAATCGGAGACAAATTTCTCATATGCTGCAAATAAGCATTTCTCCAAATGGTTGCGATGTATGACGCTCTCAAAAGTTGTTGCTTTAATTCGGATTTATATGGAGGTATAGTTGACGCGTCAATTTAGGTGAATTTCACAAATTTTTGTTAAGTATTTTTATTATTAAAAATTAATAACTTCCAAACGAAGAGGGCTAGAGGGATGAGCCCAACGGCATTGGGTTTGGCTTTATGAGGGCTACCATTCGTTCTCAGGTGCCAATCCTCTCCGACCGCTCCCTAGCTTGTAACAAGCTCAAGCGTTGAATATTGCATACTGGGGTGAAGTAACCACCGTAGACGTAAACTAAAATCCGATTTATGACAAACTAAGTATAAATTAAGCCTTATTCAAAATTCAAAATTTTTAAACTTTTTTTTTAAGAAATGAAGGGTGGGGGATTGGCACCAACCCCTATGGAACTTTTATTGCGAAGCCTACAATCAGTTCTCAGACACCAACCACCGTCCATCACTCCTTTCCGTTTTTTCCTTGGAAAACTGTTTTTATCCCTTTTCATCCCTATACAGGCCACAGGGAATTGCTGATCAACCCCGGACCTGTATCAAAATCCGAATCATCTATATACATATATAAGTACCGGACGTCTGTCTGTCTGTCTATTATTATAAGTACCTGACGTCTAGGCGTCTGTCTGTCTGTCTGTCTGTCTGACCGCGAACTACTCATTCGTTAATGGACCAAATTTTAAAGTATTGTATATGAAGTAGGGGTAGAATATTTTCCGGGGAGTGCTATAAAATGTATAATTTTTTGTTACCGATCTTTTTGGAAATTGGTTCCGAAAACTTTAATCTTGACATTAATTATTTGAAAGAATTTTAAAAATATGTGGAAACAAAAAAGGCGGACGAAGAGAGAAACGTACGTAAAGAGCAAATAAAAGAAGTTATGAGAAAAATAATTGATGAAAGAGAAAGAATGTGTAAAGATCTATTAAAAGAAATATATAATAAAATAAGATAGAAAAAATGAGAGAGGAAGAAATTAAGGCTTCTGTTTACTAACTGCAGCCATCTTGGATCGATGACGTCAAAGCGAGGAAATATATCATAAAAATTCTTACATTAAAATAAAAATGTTTTTTTAATAAAATAACATTTGTAATTAATAGAATAAACTTTTAAAATATATATCGAAAACTCCCTGTTGTTTGGGTAATCAATAAATAAGTCCTATATATCGAATTGATTTGTGCCTGATCAAGGACAAAAACAACAAATTGTTTGACAGCTGCCGAATTAAAATAAATATTAATTTCACATATTAAATTATAACAAAACTGGAATCTTTGATATATTTCAAACTACGACAATTATTTTAAATATAAAAAAACTCAAACAAAAAATAACACTGTAAATTGCAAGAATAATTTAGCTTTTTAACATCATTTTTCACGCTTTACAGTTCATAATTTTGCCAGGTGTAACGGGTGTACTGTCAAAACGCGGACTTGGCAATCGAGCCAGTAAGAGCCTTCCCAGTAAACGCTAGATATTCCTGAAATATTCCGTTCGTATTTCAAATATACCGTATATACCGGAATAGTAGATAAATTCACAGAACATTCAAATAATCGTGAAGTATTCAGAATATTCTATAAACACTTTGTATGTATAATAAGGAATATTTAGTGTACATTTTGGTATTTGTATGGGACATCTACAAAATATTCCATGGAATATGAAATAAAACCTTCTTGGATCAATCTTATTGGATATTAGTGAAAGCATGTGCTGCGCGCATATCATTTTTGCGCGCATAGCGATTACTATGTCTGTGATTGGCTGCTGAGTTTTAATCACAACCGATCGCGTTACGTAGCCATTACATGGTCATATCCATTACAACACTTATCGTTGTACAGAAAATCAGTATCAAGCGTCTTCAAACAAGAAAGCAAGGTAAATTTGCCGTTTTTGTAAACGCTTCATGTTGTATACTGGCAACAATTTGATGATTCAGCTGAATGCTCATTTGCCACGAAATATATCTAACCTAAGGAACAAAGAGATATTGGTTACAGGTTATCAGGTACAGATTTTCGGATATAGTTATCAACTTGTAATAATATTTTATGTTACATTGTTATAAATATGAGGTAGGTAAATATATATGAGTACCTCTTGGATTTGTTGTAATAAATATATGGGACATTTCGTGCTTATTTGAATATTACGTGTACATTCTGTAAATATTCCAGAATGTTTTAGGATATTCTTGGGATGTTATTTTTGGATCTTAAAAACATTTTATAAATATTACAGGAATATATAGCGTTTACTGGGTTAAAAACTCGAAAATGTTAAATGTGATATTTTAGTTAATTATTGTTTATTGCATATTTATTGAGAATTAAATTAGTCTTTTTTATGATACTCATGTGATATATTCTACAAACATACATATTTGTAGGAAATAAATTAACGTTAATACGACCCGGGCACGTCATACGTGTTTTTGTGTAAATCTTAATAATTTTATTCTTTTTCTTCTTACTTGTATGCTTGAAATATGATACAAGATTGAGAAGTAACGTGTTATTTGTAATGCTGTTATAAAATGAAAATAATACCTAATAGTTACAAGTTTCTTTTATCAATGGATTACGAGTAACGGTAACAAAATACTTTTAATAACATATATCCAACAAACACAGTGATGTAATACGTAAAGAAAAAACAGGTACATAACAAGTATAATAAAGAAATATGGTTAAGAAAATTACAAAAAAGAAATGATATCTTTTTTTAAATTATAGCGCCAATTACAGAGAACATATATTTTTCGAGAT